GGGTTTGAACCGCCAGCCTTCTGGTTAGCAGTCAAGTGCCTTAGCCACTATGCTACCAGAGCTCCCAATCAGACCCTATAGGACAGTGTAAAACTACCCCACTGGGTTTCCAATACTGTAAATCTTTATGGAAGCAGACTGCCTAATTTTTCCCCACGGAGAAGCTGGTGGATTTGAACAACCAATCTTCTGGTTAGCAGCCCAATGCTGTAACCTCAGTGCCACCAGAGCTCCTTTTTGTACATACTAGTAAAGAGTAAACAGTGGAATGGAAAGAGAATATTAATGATATATAGAATAGTGATGAAACTGATTTTTAAAACTGGCAGTATTAAAATACGCAGGACAAAAGTTTTTTTTTAAAAAAAGGAAACCACCAACACAGATGCCAAATAATAGTATAATAAGAAATTGTGTTCTTATATAACTCAATCTAAGAATTACTGACAATGTTCAAAGATGCCAAAAGATTTTATATACAACATATACTACATGATTGAATATTAAGAGTCTATGTTTGTGAAAGGCATGGAATGCTGGGATCTAATCAATTATCAGCTTGGTCATTTGATTCACAAACCCTTGAGCCCATATGATTATGATTATTATTGCTGTGCAGTCAGCTTCAACTCATGGCCACTTCACGTGTAACAGAGAACGTTGCCCAGTCCTCACCATCTTTATGATGGCTGGTATGTGTGAGTTCATTGGTACAGCCATTGTCTGGTGCCTTCCCACCCGGGAGCTCATTTTCCAGCACAAGGCTGGACAATATTCAGCTGTGATCTGTAAGATTCTCATTGACTCGTTTTACAAAGTGGCTTGCCAAGCTTACTTCCTAGTCTGTCTGTGCCTGGAAGCTCCACTGAAACCTCTCCACTACAGGTGATGCTGAAGGCATTTAAAATACTAGTGGCATAGCTTCCAGCACCCTAGCAACTCACAAGCCACCACCAGGAAATAAACTGACAGAAAGGTGATGGTATCTGACCACACTACAACACTATAAGCATGATTCAACTGCTTGATCATTGCTTATTTAATTTTCTTAAATATTTATTTATTTATGATTATAAAATTCATACTTATTCCAAAACTATTTTTAAAAAAATGTGTATTGAAATGTAAACTGGTTTAAAAAATTCACAATCCAGAGCTAACAATGTTAATATTGTAAGGTATTCCTTACGACCAATGACAACATTTTTTTTTTTTTTAATTTTATACTTAATGTTTTAGAATAAGGCTGGTGGGATGAGATATGGAAAGCACTGATATTCAAGAGTGTGTGATCACCTTTTTCAAGATACTTACATAGGAATAAAGGGGTGTTCAGGAGAACCTTCACTTCCTGCCCCATCAGCAAACAAAAGTCATTAAATACCTTATGTCACTGCCTCACTATGGAGATTACATTAATTATTGAGAGTAATTAACCTCCAGATTAACTATGGATTACATTAACTATGGTGATTAAAGCAATAGCATTCCAATTTAATGAGCAGCCCTGGTGGCACAGTGGTTAAGTGTTTGGCTGCTAACCAAAACATTGGTGGTTCAAACCCACCAACTGTTCCAAGGGAGAAAGATGTGGCAGTCTGTTCCCATAAAGATTACATACCTGGAAACCTCTGAGGCAGTTCTACTTTGTCCTATAGGGTCACTATGAGTCAGAATTAAGTCTGTGGCAATGGGTATGGTTTTGGTCTTTTATTCTAATTTAACCATTTATTTTTCTTCCTTTCACTAATTTTTTAGTTTATTATTAATGAAAGGCCAGTGATCTTTAATAGACAAAAAAAAATTAAAAAGAAAACAAAAACAATTGTGAATGAAAATTAAGAAAACAGTAATGTATTATAAAATAATCCAATAGAGAATAGAATATTTGAAAATGCTGAACATCTTTCTGACATTTCTTAAACTTTTATTTTTATTAATGAAGTAACAAAAAGTAGATATTAATCTTTATAAGAGAAGATACACTATTTAACAATAATAACTTGTGTGATTTGACCAGAATGTAATCAGATTTTGTTGTTGTTGTTGTCATGTGCCGTCAAGTCAGACTCGACTCATAGCGACCCCTTCTTGGGTTTCCAAGGCAGTATCACTACGGAAGTAGATTGCCCCATCTTCCTTCCGAGGAGTGGCTGGTGGGTTTGAACCACCAGCCTTCTGGTTAGCAGTCAAGTATCTTAGCTGCTATGCTACCAGAGCTCCCAATCTGATTTTAGACAAGCATTAATTATTTTATTAAAACAAATACAAATAACTACATTATATGTGCCAGACACTATGGTAACCTATTAGCTGTGCGGGGTGGGATAGGTGGGAGGAATAAGACATACATAATGGTCCTAGAGAAGAAGGGGAGAACATTGGCTCCACTCCACTCTGAACCCCTGGAAAGCAAAGAGTGTGGCCTGATCATCCTTGAATCTGAAACACACAGGACGGTGCCTGGCACATTATTGGTTGAATTAATTAATCAAATCTAGCTATGTGAATTATAAGAAAAGATTGTGAGCTGATGATAGGCAGTCTGGCAGGTGGGGAACACAAACTCAGGTAGTGTTAGAATTTTCAAGAACACTGTAGTTTTGATCACAGCTTCCCCACAGGCTTTAATCACATTTCATAGGACTACCCAGGACTAACATGAAATCTTTTCTCTTTTGAAATAACAATACAGACTAATCATATTGTAGGTAAGGGCTAGAGAGGTCCACCTCCAGCCTACCAGTGGTATCAATGCCAAGTCTGAAGGGGTATCTTTTTCCATTGCTACTTAACTCTGGGTTACATCACAAGAGTTTATCATCTTAATGATCAGTAGATTAATAAAAATAATGAAATAAGAAAACTGACCCTCCATATTATCAAGGGTCCCATAATAAAAGGCTTAAATGTGGTCAGAAAGCAATAGACAGAAGAAGGATCAAAGCTGAGAAATCATGACATAAACAAGAAGTATTTTAGAATTCATGCCGTAACTTCAAAAGACTATTGAGTTAAAAAGGATGGTTAATGTAATTTTCCCAGTTCTGATCATACTAAAACACAAGCATACTCACTCTCAAAGGAAGTCAATGTAAAATGTAATTTAATCTTTTTAGAAACCACTCACATACACTAATAGGTATCTATATTTTGTTTGCTACACTAGACAAAATTTTCACATTTCAAATTATACATTCTCTTCTGTAACCTAAGCACTTAGCAGTTCCATCCAGACAGGATTAAAACAAATCTCCCTTAATAAAGAAAATCCAATATAATAGGCCCAAATGTCTATTGATATTTAGTTTTTGATAAAAATAGTATTTCAAAGTAGAGTACAGAAATGAATTATTCAAAAAGTAATGATGGAACAACTAGCAAGGTACCGGTGAAAAAATAAACACTATAGCCCCACTTCACTCCTTATACCAAAATTAATTCCCAATGAGTAACAGAAGGAAACATAAAAATGAAACCATCAAAGAACTAGCATGTGTGTGTGTGTGTGTGTGTATTATATAATCAGATTATAACAATAATTTAAAATAAAACCCACTGTCATCAGGGAGCTCTGGTAGTGTAGTGCCTAAGGCACTTGACTGCTAACTAGAAGGCTGGCGGTTCAAACCCACCAGCCACTCCTCGGAAGGAAGGTTGGGCAATCTACTTCCGTAGTGATACTGCCTCGGAAACCCAAGGAGGGGTCACTATGAGTTGGGTCCGACTCGATGGCACATAACAACAACAACAACAACTGCCACCAAGTGGATTACTAAGGCAATAAATCTTTATGTAAGTAGATTGCCTCATCTTCCTTCCATGGAGCAGCTGTATTCTTTCCGCCTTGTTTTGATGCTTCCTGTATTGTTCAGTGTTTTGCCCATAGAATTCTTCAGTATTGCAATTGGATGTTTGGTTTTTTTCTTTACTTCTTTCTGCTTGAGAAATGCAGAGCGTGTTCTTCCCTTTTTGTTTTCTAACTTCAGGTCTTAGCATATTGCATTATAATACTTTATTTTGTGTTGTCAAGCTACCTTTTAAAATATGCTGTTCAGCTCTTTCTACTTAATCATTTCTTCCATTCGCATTAGATACTATATGCTCAAAAGCAAGTTTCAGAGTTTTCTTAGTATTACAAGGAGCTCTGGTGGCACAGTGCCTAAGGCATTTGACTGATAATCAGAGGCTAAAAAAAAAAAAAATTGGTTAACATTCAACCATTTCAGAAGATAGCATATGATCAAGAACCAGTGGTACTGAAGAAGTCCAAGCTGCACTGAAGGCATTGGAAAAAAAAAAAAAAAAAGGATCCAAGAATTGATGGAATATCAATTGAGCTGTTTCAACACATGGACACCATGCTGGAAGTGCTCATTTATCTATGCTGAGAAATTTGGAAGACAGCTACCTGGCCTCCTAACTAGAAGACATCGACATTTGTGCCCATTCCAAAGAAAAGGGATTCAACAGAATGTGCAAATTACCAAACAAGATCATTAATATAAAACACAAGAAAAATTTTGCTTAAGATAAGTCAAAAACAGTTGCAGCAGTACATCAACAGGGAACTGCCAGAAATTCTGGCCGGGTTCAGAAGAGAACATGGAACAAGGGATATCAATTCTGATGTCAGATAGTTTTTGGCTGAAAGCAAAGAATACCAGAAAGATATTTACCTGTATTTTATTGACTATGCAAAGGCATTTCACTGTGTGGATCATAACAAATTATGGATAACATTGGGAAGAATGGGAATTCCAGAACACTTAATTGTGCTCGTAGCAAGGAACCTGTACCAAGAAGGAGTCATTCAAACAGAACAAGGGGATACTGTGTGGTTTAAAATCAGGAAAGGTATGTATCAGGGGTGTATTCCTTCACCATACATACTCAATGCATATGCTGAGCAAATAATCTGAGAAGCTGGACTGTATGAAGAAGAACATAGCGTCAGGATTAGAGGAAGACTCATTAACAGCCTGTGATATACAGATGACACAACCTTACTTGCTGAAAGCAAAGAGGACTTGAAGCACTTACTGATGAAGATCAAAGACCATAGTGTTCAGTATGGATTACACCTCAACATAAAGAAAACAGAAATCTTCACAACTAACCAATAAGCAACATCATGATAAATTGAGAGAAGACTGAAGTTGTCAAGGATTTAATTTTACTTGGATCTATTGAAGCAGCAATCAAGAAATCAAACAATGTATTGCATTGGGCAGATCTGCTGCAAAAGACCTCTTTAAAGTGTTAAAGAGCAAAGATGTCACTTTGAGGACTAAGGAGTACCTGACCCAAGCCATGGCATTTTCAACTTCCTCATATGCATGTGAAAGCTGGACAATTAATAAGGAATACCTAAGAAGAATTGGTACATTTGAAGATAGTGTTGGTAAAGAATATTAAATATATCATGGACTGCCAGAAAAAACAAAAGAAAATCTATCTTAGAAAAGGTACAGCCAGAATGCTGTATGGGAGTGAGGATGATAAGGCTTTGTCTCATACTTTGGACATGCCATCAGGAAGGGCTAGTCCCTGGAGAAGAGAATCATGGTTTTAAAGTAGAGGGTCAGTGAAAAAGAGGAAGACTGTCAATGTGATGGATGGACACAGTGGCTCAACAATAGGCTCAAATGATTGTGAGGATGGTTGGTGCAGAACTGGGCAGGGATTCATTCTGTTATATATAGAGGGTTGCAATATAGGAACTGACTCGACTGCACCCAACAACAACAACAATGTAATAATCGTAGGTAGAGGAATGACCTCAAGACCTCAAAGTAGGCCAAGTTCAAATGCAAAAAAGTAAATATACTTTTAAAAAATTTCAGACAGCCAAACTCTAAATAAAGTTAAAATAAAATGGCAAACTGGGAAAACAAGTTTGCAATGCCAATGACAGAAAGGCTAATGTTCTTAATATGTAAAAAGTTCTCATGAATAAGTATGTAAAAGGTAAACAAAGGCTATGGAAAAACAGCTCATTTAAGAAGAAATAAATATGGCTTATAAACACAAGTGAAGATTGTTGTTGTTATTTGCCATAGATTTGGCCCCAACTCCTAGCGACCCCTCCTTGGGTTTCCGAGGCAGTTATCACTACGAAAGTAGGATTGCCCAACCTTCCTTCCGAGGAGTGGCTGGTGGGTTTGAACCGCCAGCCTCCTGGTTAGCAGTCAAGTGCCTTAGGCACTATGCTACCAGAGCTCCCAAGTGAAGATTATCAACCTCAATCTAAAAAGAAATCACACTCAAATAACATGCTTGGAAAAGATTGACAAGTTTAGATGCACAGTGTTGGGCAAGGGTAGTATCATTTAATATAATCTCTTGGAAAATAAATGTCTTTCAGGAATAAAAATGCAATTTTAAATTTCAAGGAAGAACAGCTGCATTTGTAGTAATTCATCCCGGAAATCTGGCAAAAGTGTGCAAGGATGCATGTGAAGGAAGGTTCATTGTACAATCATTTGTAAAACCTAAAAACTAAACAAAGTAAATTTCTATCAGTAAAGTGCTAATTCATGGTACATCGATATTAAGAAATACTATGAAACCAATAAAAAGAAAAAAGTACACCAGTACAATGAGCTCCAAAATGCATTATTCAGTATAAAAGAAAAGTAACAGTGTATGCATATATATATATTTTTTTTTTTTTAATTATAGTATCTATATGCAGTTTAAATTCCTGATAGAATACACACACACACAATACTGAAAATGTTTATTTTAGCATTGTGAGGTGTGAAGGAAAGGGTGAGAATAAAAATCACTGTTCACTGTCTACATGTTATAGTGTAAATTTTTTTATGATATATGTATGCAATTTTCATTTAAAATTACCTATTAATAGAAGCTATATTTCCAGTTCCAAACAATGCTGTCACAAAGAAGAAAACCTAAATATAGTTAAGGAAATTCCACAACAAATAACAATTCATACCAAATTACATTTTTCATTTTAAAAAAGATATACCAATTCTACCATGAGGTTAATTTGCTTCTTAACCTTTGCATTTCATGACACACTGTTTTAAATCATTGTTCCTCCACTGTTCCTCCTTGGGTATGCATTTTGAAAGATCCAGGCAGTATGACTAAAGAAGCTACGTCTATACTGAGAACAATGAGTCTTGGAGGTCATCCTCATTCAGCCACTGATAACCTTGGGCAAGCCTTTGAATGGATCCTGTTTTCCTCTTCTCTAACAGGAGCAGGTTGGACCTACTGTATCTGTACTGAGCTGCTAGAGATTTGTTTCAAAAGGAGGGCATGATCTGGTATCCACTGTTTTTGTGATTTCCAGGATTGTAGTATATTATACCAGGGCCACAGTGATTACATCCTCTGACTGTAATAGAATTCATCAAAGATGAGATAGAGAATAGGAAAAACAACATCAGTGTTGTTAAGCAGAGAGCTTTTATTAAGTGCACAGTGACTGTGGTGCAGTGGATTACTTCATATGGCTCTTCCAGCTATGGTCTTTATGACTCCCACCAGATGACTGGTGGGTCCATGCAAATGTGAGGTGCCTGTGGTCGTCCACCAAGGGGACTGCATAGCTTACTAGTAATGTAAGTAAGGTACCTGGCACCCTTCTGGGGGTGGGATCATGCAAATAAGGTATATGGAACCCTAACATGGAGATTGGTCAGTTCCATCTGCTAGGCCTAAAATAAGCCATCCCAGAGGCAGGAAGAGGAATCTCATTAACATCAAGAAAGAAGAGCCAGGAGCGGAGCATGTCCTTTGGACAAAGAGCCCTGTCCTGAACCTCTTCGATCCAGGAGACAGAAAGCTGTAACACTCAGCAGAGAGATGACAGCAGCAGAGGCGGCAGCCCTAAGAGACCAGCACGCGTCAGAGTAGTGGGCTTCCTGGCCCACAGAGTGAGGAAGCTGAGTGCCTTCAGGCAGGAGGTTTACTGGTGGGGTGGGTGCCTCTCTGAGCACCTATCAGCAGAGCTAAAGAAACTTGTAGCACTTGCTAGCGCAGGGCAGAGGCTGAGGTCAGAGAGAAGCGTGCCCACAGCACAGCTGAGAAGAAGCTAATGTAACAACTATATCCTGAGTTGTTTCTGATCCTGAATTGTAGCCTGTTACTTCCCTAATAAACCCCATAATTGTGAAAAATAAAAAAGGAGGATATGGCCCTACTACATATGACAGACATTTTCAGCAGAAAGACAGGCTCAGTTCATATGCTTGCTATGTATGCATTATATGTGAACCACATGCTCAGCTCTTTGGAAGGATCCAAAAAAAGTAAGATGCAGTCTATTGGTGTCCAAGAACATACTGCTTTCTAGGGAAGTACTTAAAATAGTGCCTAGCCCACTGAAAGGGCTCAACTTAGGTACACACACAAAAAGTAGTAGGTTCCTATTGGAGAGGAAATATGCGACATAAAAACTTTCAGTGATGAAGTTTCAGTGTCCTTTGAGTCGGCGAGTTGGGCCTTAAATGCATTTATGAATTCATCCATTTAACCAACATTTATTGTCTAGTAGTGCCAGCAACACAGCTTGTTGGTGTTGTGTGCTGTTGTGTTGATTCCAATGCACAGTGACTGCGTATGACAGAGTAAAGCAGTCACATCGGGCCTAGGCTGTAATTTTTACAGAGCAGATAGCCAGGTTGTTTTTCCTGCAGAGTGGATGGTGGGCTTGCATTACTGACCTTTCGTTAACAGCCGAGTGCTTAACAACTGCATCACCAGGATTCCTTGGCAATAGAGCTGGGCATTAAGAAAATCATTTTGCTTAATTTATTTTTATTTTTGCAGTGTTCCCTCCTCCCTTCTCCTATTCCTAGTAACCAACAAAGAAAGTTTCCTTCCATATATAAAACTTTCCTTGACTTTTTACAATAATGAACTAATATAATTTTTGTCCTTTTGTGATTGACTTATTTCACTCAGCACAAGTTCCTTCAAGTTCCTCCACATTATGCAGTGTTTTGTAGATTCTGCATTATTCTTTAGTGTTGCATAGTATTCCATTGTGTGTATGTACCATAGTTTGGTTATCCATTCTTCTGCAGATGGGCACCTAAGGTGTTTCCATCTTTTTGCTATTGTAAATAGTGCTGCAATGAACATGGGTGTGCATATATCTGTTCTCATCCTGGCTCTCACTTCTTTAGGATATATACCTAGAAATGGGATTGCTCGATCAAATGGTTTATCTAATTCTAGCTTTTTAAGGAATTGCCATACTGCTTTCCACAGTGGTTGTATCATTTGACAGTCCCACCAGCAGTGTATGAGAGTCCCAATCTCTCCACATCCTCACCAGCCATTCTTCATCTTCTGCCTTATTGAAATTTGGAGAAAATTATTTTAAAATGAGAGTTGTTGAGAAAACTAGTGAGTTTAAATGGCTTTTCTCTAGTTTTAGAAAGAGAGGTTAAATGGCTTCCAATCAATATCACTATTAAGGGGCAGGCAGACATACCTTCTACATCTTCTTACTCCATCAAATGAGAGATTGTGTCTCCTTAAAACAAAAGCACTAACAAAGGATACAAAGAAAAAGACCCTGCGGAAGTCATCCTGATAGAGTTGTCGAAACTGTGTCATATCCGTATGATAGGAAAATTTGATACCAGCGAGCTGTGAGATAACAAGAAAAATACTTATATACAATAATATTTGTCTTACTTCTACACTCAAAAGAAAATTTACAGTCCAAATTTAAAAGGCTAAAAAAGTAGCCAATGCTGAAAAATGGACGATAAATTATGCATTTATTGTTTAAATATACCTTAATTAAATCTATCAAAGGGTAGAATATATTGCTAGTAACATACTGGATGCAGTTGTGTAAGGCTGCATATTTGCAAAAAAGCTGGGACTTGGTCTTTTTTAAGCCTTTATTTTTCCTCTTTTTCAAAGGCTCCGATTTCTCAAGAAAAGTCTTGATCTACTCAAACCAAGGGATGATAGGATATCTAAAAATACGCTAACATAAATGATTTTTCTGTTTCTCTAATCATCAGGTAATTCTAACTGCAGGTAAATAATTTTCTCCCAATGAAAAAGAAATATATTCTTTTCCTTGGTAAAAGATAAAAGAACTCTATTCTAGGGAGATGGATACATCATTTGCTTAAACACCCTATCTACCCAAAAAAAGAGACATCATGGGTGGGTTTAAATGAAAAAAAAAATGCTGCTCATTCAGTGAAGTCTTGGGATGCTATACTAAGTTTTTCCAGAAAAAAGCTAAGTTGGCTATCAGTTGCAAAATTTAATTGTAAAAGTCATAGTATTTTTTTTCAAAGTTAAAAGGCTACTTTAGAAATCAGGCTATAATATAATTTATTAGCATATTAAAGAATTAAACTCAGTTTTCTGAAATATTTATGTAAAGGACAGCCTCCAACCATTTACTAGAATCTGATTAAAACTGTTTTTCTGTATGGTTTTCATATTCCAAGGCTGACAATTAAAAAGTGATTATAAAGTTTGTTCAACTATGAAGGAGTTTTTCTGCAATATTCATCTTATCTGACCAGAGTAAAACTATAAATATTCTATCACCAGTTCCTTTTTCTAAGAAAAAGCCAAGAGATATCAATCTATCTTGCTCAACATGATGAAGGTAACCTTATCATGTGATGGGCTTTAAACCAATTCAAAGAATACAGTGTTGAATAAGCCATGTAAAATGTGGACCAACGCCACAATCACAGAGGTAAGAGAGTAAGAATTTTGGATTAGGATGACTAGACAGAAAATAGAACACTCATATGTCACCTTACCTAGTTCATAAACTTACATGTGACAACATGAATATACTTCTTACAAAAACAAAATGAAGGAAGGAAAAATAGGTGAAAGTAAACAAAAGAAAAACATGTTTTCTCTTCGGTTCTTTCACCTATTGTTTTGGGCTGAATTGTGTCCCCTAAAAATATGAGCTGTGTGTTACCACCCTTCTTTGTGGATGCAATGTCATTCGGGAACCAGGTTTTCTTTGTTATGTTAATGAGGCCATACCATTGCAGCCCATCTGAGACATAAACAGAGCAGAAGAGACACAGAAGGAAGGAAACACAAAGGCGGAAAGAGTCAGACCGCCTGGAGATCCCCAAGGAACCCAGGATGAGAAACTGAAAGAGACAGAGCCTTCCCCTAGAGCCAACACCCTGAATTCGGACTGAGAGCTTCTTGAACTGTGAGAAAATATATTTCCGTTCATTAAAGTTACCCACTTGTATTTTTTATAGCAAATAAACTAAACTCAAAACTCACTGCCATCAAGTTGATTCCAACTCATAGCAATACTCACTGGGTTTCCAAGGTGGTGAATCTTTACCGAACCAGATCACCCCATCTTTCCTCTGCAGAGCAGCTGATTGGTTTGAACAACCAACCTTCTGGTTAGCAGTCAAATGCCTCAGGTACTGTGCCACCAGAGCTCCTTACTAAGAAAACTAAGGCACCTATATTGATTAAGGTACCTACATAGATTTTTCTCTTTTTATATTACTGATATCTAAAAATCAGTTTTCTAGTGCTATCTTTAAAAACAACAACAACAACAACAACGGGAGAGGGGAGCTGTTGTACTGTGGTAAACTGTGGTCAATGACATGAGACAAAGTATATGTGAACT